GGGGAGGAAGCATATTATTCACACAAGCTAAGCAAGTGTTCTATAGTAAAGGGTTGAGGCTACAGGGTTTCTGTTATAAGAAGGAAATTCTGAGTCTTCAATAGCAATGACAGAATGGTAGTTTATGAATATATTTTTAAAAGTCTTGGCTTGAAATAGTGATGAGAAGGCATGATATGTATGTTCAGGGTTAACAACACCATATTGAGTGTCCTGTACTAACAGAAATGTCCAGGTCAGAGATAGAGAAGCATGAACAAATTAGTTATTTTTCTCTTGTTATTGTGGCCCAAGACAGAAGAGGCTTTTTGGAGCCACAGTTCAGAAGAACATCACCCACTGTGTCTTGGAAAGCATGGCTCCAGACTGGCTTCCTATGGGTGGATCAGGAAACAAGAAGAGGGAAAGACACTGCCCAACTGTTGTGTTTTCTTTTTTCCCCTTTATATTCATTCTTGAATCCAGACTAGGGATACAACTGCCTAAACACAGGGTGGGTCTTCCTTCCCCAGTTAAAACTTCTGGAAACGCAGTAAAGGACAAATCCAAGAGCCATCTCCATAATGACCTAGCACCTCTTAACCCAAGGAAGTTGACAATAAAATAAGCTACAGCTCCTCAAAGTCATGCTACATAGAAGACTGAGATATAGACAGTATTATTTAAACCCTTTAGATGACAGCCCACAGTATAAAAAAAAACTGTGAATGTATATATAATTTTTTTAAATTACAAATCATTACTTATCCTAAAAAAATTGCCCTGAAACTTTCTACTCTCTATTTTTCTCTTTTCTATTAATTTTCCTTTCCTTAAATATTGTCAACAGATTCTAAATTTATTCAAACCTCTATCTAGCCTTCAAGATTTTTGATAGGAAAGGGGTCTTTGTGATCATGTTATAGGATTATCTGTAAATATACAACCAATTACTTTAGAGGAGGTTCTTTAAGAAAGGGTGAAAATAAAACAAAACAGAAAATTAAGGGTTTGTTTGGGGAATCACTGGTGGGATATGAAAAAAGCAATGGAATATAAACAAAGTTGGATCAAAGGGAAAAAATTAGGAAAGATGAAAATTTTATAAAAGATATATCAACAAAAGCTTTTTTTCCTTCAGTAGTGTCTACTTGTTACAGCACTTTTCAGAAAGTGCAGTGTAATGTCAGCTAAAACTGAATGACTGGAGACACTTGCTAAATATCTAAATACCTGGGCCACCCCAGATGTGGTAAATTCAATTTTCTCGGCTTAGGAACCCAAGGTGGCAACATAAATGCTCCCTGGGGAATTCTGCTCAACAGGCATTTACATCCTGATGCCTTTTACAGACAAGTATTGAAAGTGTTGCTCTCCAGGAACATGCAGTCTCACTTCCCATTTTAGAGAGTAGGAGAAGATTTGCATACCAAGCCACTATTCCTCCAAAGGTCACCTCACACTATGTCTGAATTATGCTCACACAGAAGGAAACAAACCAGGGTCTCTAATTTCTAGCCATTAAGTGAGCATGCTTTATTCACCTATCTTTTCTGTATTATAGTAAGAGGTTGACCAGATGGCCTAGAATCACATTATCTTTATCAGGTTTTGAAAATAATTTCCCAATGTTGTCCTCGCTGACTTTGATCCTACTGTCTTTATACCTTAACCTGGGGAGCTGAGATTACAGGGCTGTGGCATGAGCCAGTACAGTTGCATAAAACTACAATATGACACTAACAAATTGCATTTGCATTTTAAACTGAACTGGTTAAACATCATAAAATCAACTGGCATTTGAAGGGCAGAGGGTGGCACAGGAAGATGATCTCAGAAAAAACAAAAACTGAAGTTTGTGGTTGGGTTTGAAATGAAATATCTCAGTTTGTGGGGTTGTGATGAGCTTTTCTGACAGAAAGTTAGATTACTTAGCACAAAGAAAAAACCCAACATGTGTGGAGAGTGAATGTATTCAGGGTTGGGAAGCAGCTTGCTGTGCTGACATACACACAGCACTCAGGAGACAAAATCATCAAGGCCACAAATCGGTACCAGGCTCTTTCTTTTGGGCCATCAACCAGCTCCAAAATCATGACACAGAAACTTCTTTTTTTAGTTATGAATGCCTGGCAGTTGGCTGGCTGCTTGCCCCAGATAGGCATAACCCCCTCTTTCTCCATAGTTTTTTCCCCTTCCTCTTCTCTTGCTCTTCTCCAGCCCAGATTTCTCTTCCTACTTATTCTCTCTGCCTGCCAGCCACATCTATCCCTGTCCTGCCCAGCTACTGGCCATCCTGCTTTTTATTAGACCAATCGGACACCTTATACAGGCCAGGTGAAACAGCAACACATCGTTTCTTAATTAAACAAATGCAGCAAAGACAAATATAACACATCTTTGCCTAGTAAAAATAATATTCTACAGCAGATTATAGTCTAGGCTATATAATAAAACACCGTCTCAGCATCTGGAGGCACGAGGTGGCAGGGATGGTTCAGTATGTAAATTCGCTGCCACACATGTGTGAGGGCCTGAGTTCAGGCAGGAGAATGCACATGCGTAATGGGAGGGCCCAACCCACCATGGACAGTCAAACTCTGGCTGGTTGGTTCTAGAATTTGGACTCAAATTCATTAAAACATTAAAATTCATCAAAATCATTAACTAGAAAGAAAGACCTGTTTAGTTCTGGAATTGTTTTATTCTGTTCTTTATAAAATTATTTTTAAGATACTTTGGGTTTATATATGTCATCACTGCTTGTGCTTAACTACGAGATCACATACTAAAGTACTGGCAATCACAAGTCCTCAGCTTAGCCTAATGATGGCATTTAAGAATTAAAATCATTTTAAAAGATGGGTGCTATTCTGCACGTAGAGGCAGCAGCACTTAAAGCCATTCGCCAGGTTCCAATTGTTATTATTAAACTACAGATCTTCGGTAGTTCAAGATTCTGTATTTCTATTCAGATCCAAAGTGACACAAACCCTGTTGACTTGACAGTAAACCAGAAAGTGACATTTCTGTCTGAGCCCATCTCTATTACTCACAAGCTATATACATTTCTTTCTAGCACCTTCACAACTAAAGGATTGCTCTCAAGATCACACAAGTCACCCCTCAGGTTGTATTCTGAAGATTCTGTCACATACAGAAAGAACTCAATAAGTGCTATTCCTTGGTATTATTGGAAACTATTAAAAGCATCTATTGTGTCCCATTAGAAAGCCAACTCTAGAATCAACTGATCTAACAGGAACACTAATATAATGTGATCTTTCTTTTCCAAGCAGTCATTAGAACATAATTTCACATGGAAGGACATTAAACACAAAAGGGAGATACACTATGTGGCTTTATTAAACACATAAATCTGAACTTCTATGAATGGATTTGCATGAATCTAGCTGAGCCTCAGCTATTTAAGGACCATACTTCATTTCTATGTCAGAAGATATCTTACAACAGGTACACAGTGTGTTCTAATTCACTTATTTGAAAAGCTCCCATTGAATTTAGAAATATCCACATTTGCTTTAAAAATAAAATTCCCTTTTGCTGTTTAAGGACTGAAGTTTAGAAAAATACCTTCAGCTTTGTAGTGATTTAAGAATGATATTTAATACAAACCGTGGATCAAAAATAGGAAAGTTGGGATGAAGATAAAACTTCAAGCTGAAAAATACCTCATTTATCAGCAGACCTTTCTCTTCATGCAGACACCTGCTGTTTCATGTTTAACAATATTAACCACCAATATCAAATCACTAGGATTAGGAATACAAGAAGACCAGAGTGAGCAGAATCATACCAACATCATATCTTGTTTATTTGGTTTCATGCTTTTCCAAATCAACTATATCTGCAAAACAAAACCCATGAAAAAGCCTGAGCTAACTTTTTTACTTGACAAGGCAGATATTAGCTGTCTCTCAAACCCAAAAAGCAAGAAACTTCACTTCAGTATGACCTATTTATGCCTCCTAGATTTATCAGATGTGATTTTTAATGACCCCAAACCAAAGGAAATGTAGAAATCTATTTGAAAAGTTGACGTTAAGGTTGTGACACCAACCAAAATAACAAGAGAACTTAAAGTTAACCTGACAGAAATTCCCCCACCATTCTGCTTCTTTCCTCATTTAAAAAGCAGGTGCTCTGGGAACTATTGATGGCATGTCAAATGCTTCTTTGAAACTTCCCAAGTTTGTCATTTGGTGTTTGTGTCATAACCTTGATATTATTTAAACATACTTTTAAATATCTATTATTTAAAAATATCTTGGAATTGAAGATATCCTAAAGCTTTGAAGAAGCCATCCTCCAAACACTGCAATTCCTCACTTGCCACTTTTGTTAGAAGTAGTGCATAAAACATTTGCTGTTGACAAATCTAATTCATTAAAAGGTGAGATGGATGCATTTTTAAATTTCTGGCTGCCATCATTATCTGCAGTGCCTTTTATAAATTATTCCTCGTTTCCCTTTGACTGAACTTGTCACGGTTCTCTCTCAGAGCCTGGTGTTATGCCTTTATCGTCAGTGCTTTCAACATATTTAGACAAGTCATGAGTTAAGCAAGCAGTGGCATTTTACTTTGTAGAAATGAGAAAGGGTAACCCAAGTACAGATTATTTCACTCAGTGCATTGATTTTTAACTAAAGACAAAGTCAGTTAGTGGTGGTTTCATCTCCCACAAAGGATTTAAAAATAAAAACAGGCGGTTTGTGTAGAATAAGGAATTTCACAGAAAGCAACAACAAGAGAGCTTCTGGAGCTCAGCTGCACTGTCATGCAGAAAGTGTGGTTTAAAACTGAATTGTATCCTTCCCTTGACATCAGAGATCAGGTATATCATAGGTTGACAGCTGGCTGGCACGCTAACTTCCAGAAGAAATATACTAACAGCATTCTTCCAGAGGCTGCAGGAATAAAATTATGGAAGCCTTGAAGGAAACTGAGCAGGCAGAGTACAAAATTATCCAAAACATGAAGAAAGGTATTTATTTCTTACCTAATTTTATTTCAGAAGACTCTAAGAATGAGTTGGTCTTCTAATCCCAAACAGATAGACAATTATTATTTTATGAGCTGTTAGCAGAAATGTTCTGTCGTTTCCAAAATCTATAAGATAATTGGACAAAGCTCCATCACTGACACAGCGGGGGTGGGGAACACATTCATAACATGAGACATCTACTCTGATAGCAAAGCTTCTATTTTGATATTATGCCTATAGGTTTGAGCTCTGAATAAATGAATACATAAAGACATCCTGCTGGGCTACTGAAGAAAAGTTAATTAACAAAAAGGACCAGAGTGTAGGCATATCAAAATAGTGACACTTAGGGAAAAACATATTTAAAACTTTATTTTTAAATACTGAAAATTCCTAAGGAACTTCAGCTTAAAGAGAATAAATTTTGATTATGTAGTTGGTGTTGTCATGGTCTAAACCACATATAGGACATGTATCATATGTCATTTCAAGGTCTTACTTTCATACAACAATGCTTTATAATTTTTCCCATTGGAATTCCATTTACCAATAGATTATTAGATTTATTTGTATGCACTAGATATTTTGAATGTTATAATTATCTTATGTATTTGTCTAAAATTTTTGCATGATGTGATATTTATTCAGAATATTTTCTGAACATATTTTTCCTGTGGTCATCAAACACAAATTAATTTGAATTATTTCCAAAATCTATACTGTTCTCTTTATCATGGCTTACACAAATGTAAAAGTCAAGCACAAATGCAGTTTTGTCCAGCAACAACGGCCAAGCACCATTCGACATTTGAAAAAAAAAGTCTACATTTGATACCTAGGCAAAATAAAAAATGACCCATGAGAAATAATAAATCAATTAATAGAACATACACATTTTCAATCAATCTGAGGAAATCAAGACAAGAAAAAAAATTCCATCCATGAAAGAAGATGAGAAGCAGCATTTTCCACTATGGTTAGAAAGGTCCAGAAACATTCTCCCAACAAAGAAACTATCGGGCTAGGCAGAACTGACAAACAGTTCAATTTAGAAATTAGCTGTAATGAACAGGAAAGTTCAAGTAGTTTTTTTTTTCAAATAGATTACATTTTATTTATTAAACGTATTTAACCCATTTTTGTTCCATATAAATTTCATTTCTTTCCAATATTCATATTAAAGCTAATTAAATTTAATTATTTAATACACAACTGTTTTCAAATTAGTTTTTTACAATTAAAGCATATCCTTTTGTTACCAGCAATTACAACCCAGTCAGCATATAGGTTTTCCAAATTTAGAAAAAAGCATTAGGACCAGAACTTCTTTGCAATGGCCAAAGAGAATCATTTAATACAACCATGTTGTCAGTGGAAGTAAAGATGTTGGAAGTGAGCAAGTTCAGGCAGCCAACAGATCTATCGGGCCCATGTCACAGTCATAATTGGAACAAACATTGATTGGGCTTGGCAGAGCTGGAGAGCATGGGCCAAAGAGGCCAAAGAAGCCCAGAGCTACATATAGTAAAGGAGACAGCAAGAAGTCAAGTCTGGTCTGTCCTTCCTTCCACACAGCGTTCCTCTATCATTATATACACTACAGAGATCCACCACGAGTTGAGAGAACAGAATTACTGACTTCAAGAATTTAAGCACAACTGTTCAACCACACTTAAAATCCACAAAGACACAGAACAAGCCCTAGGAAACCCAATATAAAACTAAAACCAAGCACTGAAAAATACAGACACTTATGATCATTAGCACAAGGTTATATATCAAAAATACACTGTAGTAGGGAAATTAATTTTTTAAAAAGTGGTAATCAAAACCTTATGAAGGAAAAACAATACAGAATCTAGAGCTGTCATAATATATGTTCTAAAATGGTCAGTTCTCAATAAGAAATAAATATATACATAAAGACATAGAAACACAGCTAACAGAAATCGTCTACGTATTTTCATATTGTTGACCTGAAATAAAGACATCAAAGTAGATATTAAAAATATGTTCTAGGTGGGCAAGATTAAATTGAGCACTTGTGAGGATCTCTGCTAGTTTGGGGCCAGTCTGGGTTACACAGTGAATTCTAGGACAGCCAGGGATTCATAGTGAGATCCTGTCTCAAAAAAGTTAATATTTTTTTTTCAGGAGAGAAACAGGCAAGTATGTTGATGAACACCTGTACCCCAGCTACTTGGGTAGTAGAAGTAGAAAGTGTGAAAGTTCCCAGACAGCATGGACAAGAGAATTGCAATAAAAAATATAAATAACCAAGAGGAAATTCTACGTTTGTACTTTCAAAACAGTAAATAAAATTTATTATAGGGCTTTGTCAGTATATGACTCAAGAAATAATTTAAGATGAATGCATATAAATTACCCAAACTCAACAAGAGGGAGAAACAAGACATTTTAAAGTAAGAACAAAGAAAGATTCAGAATGTATTTTAATACAAGTATTAAAAACAAACAAACAATAAATGTAAAGGGAATGCCAGCAAGGGATTACACAACTAAAGTGATAAAATAATATTTGAGGCCATACTGGATAAAAACAGAAGAAACTTCATGATAGACATTAACTTATCTAGTAAAGGCATTTCAGCATCCTAAGTAGAAGACACTCATAGCTAGAAACAATCAAGCTATTCAAAGACAAAACGAGCATCTTATAAAGAGAAAACTATGACACAAGGTGAACATCAATACCATTAAATACTAGTTTCATACTATGGAAATCAAAACTCCATACTTGAAAAAAAATCAAACCTTTAAAAGGGAAAAATGTCAACCAAACACCCTGAATCTAGAATAACTATCAATAAACTGAAGACAAAATCTAGTCATTGCGAAACAATACTAAATAAAGGCTGAGAAATAATTTCCCACAGCCTTGCTTAAAAAGAAATACTAAAGAAAAGGACACTAAATAATAACTGAAGTACATAATAAAAGTACACACACACAGACACACGTTGGAAGGATTACTTAAAATTCCATACCTTAAGCTATACAGCCATACTAATAAAAGCAATATATGGCACTGGCACAAAAATAGAGATATAGACAAATAAAAAAAATTGAAGACCCAAATATGAGCACATAGAATTTCAGCCACTTAATACTAGGCAAAGAAATCAAAAACATACGCTGCAGAAAAGAAAACATCCTCCCTATTTGGTGCAGGAAAACTGGATGTCCACATGCAGAAAACTGAAACTAGACTTGAAACTATCACCTCGCACCCAAACTAACCCCAAATATATCAAAGATCTAGAGCTGAAACCTCAAACACTGAAATTGTTAGAAGGAAGCATGGGGAGTGCCCTACATGACACAGGCGTAGGAAAAGATTTTGTGAATAGGAGTCAATATGTCAAGAAGGCTAACAATTGACAAGTGGGACTTCCTAAACCAAAAAACTTCTGCTCAGCTAAAGAAACTATCTATACATAAAGAGGGAAGCCCACAGAATGGAAGAGCTAGACATCTCACAGAGGATCAATATCCAGAATACATAAAGAATTCAAAAAACATAAAATAAAAAATAATACACCATCTGAAAAATGGACCTAGGATTTGAATACAGAATTCTCAAAAGGAGGAGGAGGAGAAAGCCATTATTCCTAGAAATTAGAGAAATGCAAATCAACTTTAAGATTTCATCTTACCCAAGTCAGAATAGCAAAGATCAACAAAAGATCTGACAAAAAAATGCTCTCTCCTCTCTCTCTCCCCCCCCTCTCTTATACACACACACACACACACACACACACACACACACACACACACACACACACACACAGACAGGATGACTCTCATTCACTGTAGATGGGATTGCAAACTGGTGCACCACTATGGAAATCGGTGTGGAGAATGGAGAATTCTCAAAAACCTAAACATAAGTCTACCATATGACTCCGTTATACTATTTGTAGGCATGTGTCCAAAGCACTCAATCCTCTATTCTGCAAATACTTGGTCAGTCAAGTCCATTGCTATAGCTTACAAATGGAAACACCATAAAAGTCCTATGATAGATGGATAATGGAAATGTGGAATACTATTCAGCTGTAAAGAATAAAGAAATCATGAACTTTGCAAGTAAATGTTGAAGAATATTAAAAATGTTACATTTGTTTATGCTGTAGAACATTTGTTTAACAATATAAAGATGTGTTGCATTCTTTTATGTTGCATTTGTTTGATACTGTGAAACTGTTATTTTGCCTGTCTAAAACACCTGGTTGGTCTAATACAGAGCTGAATGTTCAATAGCAAGGCAGGAGAAAGGATAGTCTGGGCTGGCAGACAAAGAGAATAAATAGGAGGAGAAATCTGGGAGGGCAAGATCAGGGGCCAGCCACCCAGCTACACAGCAAGCCATGGAGTAAGAAGCAAAGGAAGAACTAGAGAAACGATAAAATCCAGAGGCAAAAGATAGATGGGATAATTTAAGTTAGAAAAGACGGCAAGAAACAAGCCCAAGCTAAGGCAGGGCATTGGTAAGAAGAATAAAACTCCATGTGATTTATTTGAGAGCTGGATGGTTCCCCCAAAGAGAAAAGAGCCAGAGTAAAAACAACCAACTACAAGTAAACGGATGGCACTAGGAAAGATCATATTGAGGGAGGTAACCCAGACACAGAAAGACCAACGCCTCATGATCTCTCTTATTGGAGCCTACTAGCTCCAAATCTTTGGACACCAATGCAAAGCCTGTAGTAACTGAAGCAGCTAGGAAAGTGAGACTTGGACTTCACACCTTGGCTTGTGTGCACTTTCTCCACTTTCTTCTTCCTCATGGGTCTAATCTTTTACACGGCTCACCCAGAAGTCTCCTTCTCTTATTTTCCTCATTTCTGAGACCCCTTACCACTACACTGAGCTCACCTGGACAACCTGGAACATAATCCTCCATGTAACGCAAATTGATGAGCAAGTTTAATTCCACTGGTACTAAATTCCTCTTTGCCATGTAACATGAAATAGTCCCAGGTTCCAGGAAAAATGGTGTCTTACCTTCCAGGATATTCACTGGTTTTTTTCAGCATTACATTAGGAATAAATTCTAATGCCAAGCTTGTTTTAAGTCCTCGACATAACAGTAAGAATTACT